CACAGTACTCGCACCATTCGCCTCTGGGGCCACAGTACTCGCATCACTTGCCTCTGGACCCACAGTACTCGCACCACTCGCCTCTGGGGGACATAGTACTCGCATCACTCACCTTTGGACCCACAGTACTCGCACCACTCGTCTCTGGGGCCACAGTATTCGCACCACTCGCCTCTGGGGCCACAGTACTCGCACCACTCGCCTCTGGGGGCCACAGTACTCGCACCATTCGCCTCTGGGGCCACAGTAATGGCAATACTCGCCTCTGGGCTCATAGTACTCGCACTACTAGCCTCTGGGGCCACAGTACTCGCACCACTCACCTCTGGGGCAATAATACTCACACCACTTAATTCTGGGGCCATAATACTCGCACCACTCGCCTCTGGGGCCACAGTACTCGCACCACGCGCCTCTGGGGCCATAATACTCGCACCATTTGCCTCTGGGGCCATAGTACTCGCACCACTCGCATCTGGGGCCACAGTACTCGCACCACTCGCCTCTGGACCCCCAGTACTTGCACCACTCGCCTCTGGGGCCACAGTACTCGCACCACTCGCCTCTGGGGCCACAGTACTCGCACCACACGCCTCTGGGGCCATTATATTCGTACCACTCGCTTCTGGGACCACAGTACTCGCACCACTCGCCTCTGGGGCCATAATACTCGCACCACTCGCCTCTGGGGCCACAGTATTCGCACAACTCGCTTCTGGGGCCACAGTACTCGCACCACTCGCCTCTGGGGCCATAATACACGCACCACTCGCCTCTGGGGCCACAGTACTCGCACCACTCGCCTCTGGACCCACAGTACTCGCACCAATCGCCTCTGGGGCCACAGTAATCGCATCACTCGCCTCTGGAGGCCACAGTACTCGCACCACTCGTCTCTGGGGCCATAGTACTCACACAACTCGCCTTTGTAGCCACAGTATTCGCACAACTCGCCTCTGGGGCCACAGTACTCGCACCACTCGCCTCTGGGGCCATAATACTCGCACCACTCGCCTCTGGGGCCACAGTACTCGCGCCACTCGCCTCAGGGGTCACAGTATTCGCACCACTCGCCTCTGAGGCCACAGTACTCGCACCACTCGCCTCTGGGGCCATAATACTCGCACCACTCGCCTCTGGGGCCACAGTACTCGCACCACTCGCCACTGAGGCCACAGTACTCGCACCACTCGCCTCTGGGGCCATAATACTCGCATAACTCGCCTCTCGGGCCACAGTACTCGCACCACTCGCCTCTGGGGCCACAGTACTCGCACCACTCGCCTCTGGGACCACAGTACTCGCACCACTCGCCTCTGGGGCCACAGTACTCGCACCACTCGTCTCTGAGGCCATAGTACTCTCACAACTCGCCTTTGTGGCCACAGTATTCGCACAACTCGCCTCTGGGGCCACAGTACTCGCACCGCTCGCCTCTGGGGCCATAATACTCGCACCACTCGCCTCTGGGGCAATAATACTCGCACCGCTCGCCTCTGGGGCCATAATACTCGCACCACTCGCCTCTGGGGCAATAATACTCGCACCACTCGCATCTAGGGCCACAGTACTCGCACCACTCGCCTCTGGGGTCACAGTATTTGCACCACTCGCCTCTGAGGCCACAGTACTCGCACCACTCGCCTCTGGGGCCATAATACTCGTACCACTCGACTCTGGGGCCACAGTACTCGCACCACTCGCCACTGAGGCCACAGTACTCGCATCACTCGCCTCGGGGTCCACAGTACTCGCACCACTCGTCTCTGGGGCCATAGTACTCACACCACTCGCCTTTGTGGCCACAGTATTCGCACAACTCGCCTCTGGGGCCACAGTACTCGCACCATTCACCTCTGGGGCCTCTGTACTCGCACCCCTCGCCTCTGGGGCCATAATACTCGCACCACTCACCTCTGGGGCCACAGTACTCGCACCACTCGCCTCTGGGGCCACAGTATTCGCACCACTTGCCTCTGGAGCCACAGTACTCGCACCACTCGCCTCTGGGGCCACAGTACTCGCACCACTCGCCTCTGGGGCCATAATACTCGCACCACTTGCCTCTGGGGCCATAATACACGCACCACTCGCCTCTGGGGCCACAGTACTCACACCACTCGCCTCTGGGGCCATAATACTTGCACCATTTGCCTCTGGGGCCATAGTACTCGCACCACTCGCCTCTGGGGCCACAGTACTCGCACCACTCGCCTCTGGACCCCCAGTATTCGAACCACTCGCCTCTGGGGCCACAGTACTCGCATCACTTGTCTCTGGGGCCATAATACTCGTACCACTCGCCTCTGGGGCCACAGTATTCGCACAACTCGCTTCTGGGGCCACAGTAATCGCACCACTCGCCTCTGGGGCCATAATACACGCACCACTCGCCTCTGGAGCCACAGTACTCGCACCAATCGCCTCAGGGGCCACAGTACTCGCATCACTCGCCTCTAGGGGCCACAATACTCGCACCACTCGTCTCTGGGGCCATAGTACTCACACAACTCGCCTCTAGGGCCACAGTACTCGCACCACTCACCTCTGGGGCCATAATACTTGCACCACTCACCTCTGGGGCCATAATACTCGCACCACTCGCCTCTGGGGCCACAGTACTCACACCACTCGCCTCTGGGGCCACAGTACTCGCACCACTCGCCTCTGGGCCATAATACTCGCACCACTCGCCTCTGGGGCCACAGTACTCGCACCACTCGCCACTGAGGCCACAGTACTCGCACCACTCGCCTCTGGGGCCATAATACTCGCAAAACCCGCCTCTCGGGCCACAATACTCGCACCACTCGCCTCTGGGCCCACAGTACTCGCACCACTCGCCTCTGGGGCCACAGTACTCGCACCACTCGCCTCTGGGGGCCACAGTACTCGCACTACTCGTCTCTGGGGCCACTATATTCGCACTACTCGCTTCTTGGGTCATAGTACTCGCACTATTAGCATCTGGGGCTACAGTACTCGCACTATTAGCCTCTGGGGCCACAGTACTCACACCACTCGCCTCTGGGGCCATAATACTCGCACCATTTGCCTCTGGGGCCATAGTACTCGCACCACTCGCCTCTGGGGCCACAGTACTCGCACCACTCGCCTCTGGAACCCCAGTATTCGAACCACTCGTCTCTGGGGCCACAGTACTCGCATCACTTGTCTCTGGGGCCATAATACTCGTACCACTCGCCTCTGGGGCCACAGTATTCGCACAACTCGCTTCTGGGGCCACAGTAATCGCACCACTCGCCTCTGGGGCCATAATACACGCACCACTCGCCTCTGGGGCCATAGTACTCGCACCGCTCGCCTCTGGAGCCACAGTACTCGCTCCAATCGCCTCTGGGGCCACAGTACTCGCATCACTCGCCTCTGGGGGCCACAGTACTCGCACTACTCGTCTCTGGGGCCACTATATTCGCACTACTCGCCTCTTGGGTCATAGTACTTGCACTATTAGCATCTGGGGCTACAGTACTCGCACTATTAGCTTCTGGGGCCACAGTACTCGCACTACTCGCCTCTGGGGCCATAATACTCGCACCACTCGCCTCTGGGGCCACAGTACTCACACCACTCGCCACTGCGGCCATAATACTCGCACCACTTGCCTCTGGGGCCATAGTATTCGCATCTCTCGCCTCTGGACCCACAGTACTTGCGCCAATCGCCTCTGGGGCCACAGTACTCGCACCACTCGCCTCTGGGGGCCACAGTACTCGCACCACTCGTCTCTGAGGCCATAGTACTCTCACAACTCGCTTTTGTGGCCACAGTATTCGCAGACCTCGCCTCTGGGGCCACAGTACTCGCACCACTCGCCTCTGGGGTTATAATACTCGCACCACTCGCCTCTGGGGCCATAATACTCGCACCATTCGCCTCTGGGGCCACAGTACTCGCACCACTCGCCTCTGGGGTCACAGTATTCGCACCACTCGCCTCTGAGGCCACAGTACTCGCACCAATCGCCTCTGGGGCCACAGTACTCGCATCACTCGCCTCTAGGGGCCACAATACTCGCACCACTCGTCTCTGGGGCCATAGTACTCACACAACTCGCCTCTGTAGCCACAGTATTCGCACAACTCGCCTCTAGGGCCACAGTACTCGCACCACTCACCTCTGGGGCCATAATACTTGCTCCACTCACCTCTGGGGCCATAATACTCGCACCACTCGCCTCTGGGGCCACAGTACTCGCACCACTCGCCTCTGGGGCCACAGTACTCGCACCACTCGCCTCTGGGCCATAATACTCGCACCACTCGCCTCTGGGGCCACAGTACTCGCACCACTCGCCACTGAGGCCACAGTACTCGCACCACTCGCCTCTGGGGCCATAATACTCGCAAAACCCGCCTCTCGGGCCACAATACTCGCACCACTCGCCTCTGGGCCCACAGTACTCGCACCACTCGCCTCTGGGGCCACAGTACTCGCACCACTCGCCTCTGGGGGCCACAGTACTCGCACTACTCGTTTCTGGGGCCACTATATTCGCACTACTCGCCTCTTGGGTCATAGTACTCGCACTATTAGCATCTGGGGCTACAGTACTCGCACTATTAGCCTCTGGGGCCACAGTACTCACACCACTCGCCTCTGGGGCCATAATACTCGCACCATTTGCCTCTGGGTCCATAGTACTCGCACCACTCGCCTCTGGAACCCCAGTATTCGAACCACTCGCCTCTGGGGCCACAGTACTCGCACCACTCGCCTCTGGAACCCCAGTATTCGAACCACTCGTCTCTGGGGCCACAGTACTCGCATCACTTGTCTCTGGGGCCATTATATTCGTACAACTCGCCTCTGGGGCCACAGTATTCGCACAACTCGCTTCTGGGGCCACAGTAATCGCACCACTCGCCTCTGGGGCCATAATACACGCACCACTCGCCTCTGGGGCCATAGTACTCGCACCGCTCGCCTCTGGAGCCGCAGTACTCGCACCAATCGCCTCTGGGGCCACAGTACTCGCATCACTCGCCTCTGGGGGCCACAGTACTCGCACTACTCGTCTCTGGGGCCACTATATTCGCACTACTCGCCTCTTGGGTCATAGTACTCGCACTATTAGCATCTGGGGCTACAGTACTCGCACTATTAGCTTCTGGGGCCACAGTACTCGCACTACTCGCCTCTGGGGCCATAATACTCGCACCACTTGCCTCTAGGGCCATAATACTCGCACCACTCGCCTCTGGGGCCACAGTACTCACACCACTCGCCACTGCGGCCATAATACTCGCACCACTTGCCTCTGGGGCCATAGTATTCGCATCACTCGCCTCTGGACCCACAGTACTCACACCACTCGCCACTGCGGCCATAATACTCGCACTACTCGTCTCTGGGGCCACTATATTCGCACTACTCGCCTCTTGGGTCATAGTACTCGCACTATTAGCATCTGGGGCTACAGTACTCGCACTATTAGCTTCTGGGGCCACAGTACACGCACTACTCGCCTCTGGGGCCATAATACTCGCACCACTTGCCTCTAGGGCCATAATACTCGCACCACTCGCCTCTGGGGCCACAGTACTCACACCACTCGCCACTGCGGCCATAATACTCGCACTACTCGTCTCTGGGGCCACTATATTCGCACTACTCGCCTCTTGGGTCATAGTACTCACACTATTAGCATCTGGGGCTACAGTACTCGCACTATTAGCTTCTGGGGCCACAGTACTCGCACTACTCGCCTCTGGGGCCATAATACTCGCACCACTTGCCTCTAGGGCCATAATACTCGCACCAATCGCCTCTGGGGCCACAGTACTCGCACCACTCGCCTCTGGGGGCCACAGTACTCGCACCACTCGTCTCTGAGGCCATAGTACTCTCACAACTCGCTTTTGTGGCCACAGTATTCGCAGACCTCGCCTCTGGGGCCACAGTACTCGCACCACTCGCCTCTGGGGCTATAATACTCGCACCTCTCGCCTCTGGGGCCATAATACTCGCACCATTCGCCTCTGGGGCCACAGTACTCGCACCACTCGCCTCTGGGGTCACAGTATTCGCACCACTCGCCTCTGAGGCCACAGTACTCGCACCACTCGCCTCTGGGGCCATAATACTCGTACCACTCGCCTCTGGGGCCACAGTACTTGCACCACTCGCCACTGAGGCCACAGTACTCGCACCACTCGCCTCTGGGGCCATAATACTCGCAAAACTCGCCTCTCGGGCCACAGTACTCGCACCATTCGCCTCTGGGGACACAGTACTCACACCACTCGCCTCTGGGGCCACAGTACTCGCACCTCTCGCCTCTGGAGCCACAGTACTCGCACTACTCGCCTCTGGGGCCACTATATTCGCACTACTCGCCTCTGGGGTCATAGTACTCGCACAATTAGCCTCTGTGGCAACAGTACTCGCACTATTAGCCTCTGGGGCCACAGTACTCGCACCACTCGCCTCTGGGGCCATAATACACGCACTACTTGCCTTTGGGGCCATAATACTCGCACCACTCGCCTCTGGGGCCACAGCACTCACACCACTCGCCACTGGGGCCATAATACTCGCACCACTTGCCTCTGGGGCCACAGTACTCGCATCACTCGCCTCTGGGGGCCACAGTACTCGCACCACTCGTCTCTGGGGCCAAAGTACTCACACCACTCGCCTTTGTGGCCACAGTATTCGCACAACTCGCTTATGGGGCCACAGTACTCGCACCACTCGCCTCTGGGGCCTCTGTACTCACACCACTCGCCTCTGGGGCCACAGTACTCGCACCACTCGCCTCTGGGGCCACAGTATTCGCACCACTCGCCTCTGGGGCCACAGTACTTGCACCACTCGTCTCTGGGGCCACAATATTCGCACTACTCGCCTCTGAGGTCATAGTACTCGCACTACTAGCCTCTGGTACCATAGTACTCGCACCACTCGCCTCTGGGGCCATAATACTCGCACCACTTGCCTCTGGGGCCATAATACTCGCTCCACTCGCCTCTGGGGCCACAGTACTCGCACCACTTGCCTCTGGGGCCATAATACTCGCACCACTTGCCTCTGGGGCCATAGTACTCACACCACTCGTCTCTGGGGCCACAGTACTCACACCACTCGCCTCTGGGGCCATAATACTCGCACCACTCGCCTCTGGGGCCATAATACTCGCACCACTCGCCTCTGGGGCCACAGAACTCACACCACTCGACTCTGGGGCCATAATACTCGCACCACTTACTTTTGGGGGCCACAGTACTGGCACCACTCGCCTCAGGGGCCATAATACTCGCCTCTGGGACCATAATACTCGCACCACTCGCATCTGGGGTCACAGAACTCGCACCACTTGCCTCTGGGGCCATAATACTCGCACCACTTGCCTCTGGGGCCATAATACTCGCACCACTCGCCTTTGGGGGCCACAGTACTGGCACCACTCGCCTCTGGGGCCATAATACTCGCACCACTCGCCTCTGGGGCCACAGAACTCGCACCACTCGCCTTTGGGTCCACAGTACTCGCACCACTCGCCTCTGGGGCCACAGTACTGGCACCACTTGCTTCTGGGGCCACAGTACTCGCACTACTCGCCTCTGGAGCCATAGTACTTGCACCACTCGCCTCTGGGGCCACAGTACTCGCACCACTTGCCTCTGGGGCCATAATACTCACACCACTTGCCTCTGGGGCCATAGTACTCGCACCACTCGCCTCAGGGCCACAGTATTCGCACAACTCGCTTCTGGGGCCACAGTACTCGCACCACTCGCCTCTGGGGCCATAATACACACACCACTCGCCTCTGGGGCAGGGGCAACAGTACTCGCACCACTCGCCTCTGGACCCACAGTACTCGCACCAATCGCCTCTGGGGCCACAGTACTCGCATCACTCGCCTCTGGGGGCCACAGTACTCGCACCACTCGTCTCTGTGGCCATAGTACTCACACAACTCGCCTTTGTGGCCACAGTATTCCCACAACTCACCTCTGGGGCCACAGTACTCGCACCTCTCGCCTCTGGGGCCTTAATACTCGCACCACTCGCCTCTGGGGCCATAATACTCGCGCCACTCGCATCTGGGGTCACAGAACTCGCACCACTTGCCTCTGGGGCCATAATACTCGCACCACTCGCCTCTGGGGCCATAATACTCACACCACTTGCCTCTGGGGCCATAATACTCGCACCACTCGCCTCTGGGGCCATAATACTCGCACCACTCGCCTCTGGGGCCACAGTACTCGCACCACTCGCCTCTGGACCCCCAGTATTCGAACCACTCGCCTCTGGGGCCACAGTACTTGCATCACTTGTCTCTGGGGCCATAATACTCGCACCACTCGCCTCTGGGGCCACAGTATTCGCACAACTCGCTTCTGGGGCCACAGTACTCGCTCCACTCGCCTCTGGGGCCATAATACACGCACCACTCGCCTCTGGGGCCACAGTACTCCCACCGCTCGCCTCTGGAGCCACAGTACTCGCACCAATCGCCTCTGGGGCCACAGTTCTCGCATCACTCGCCTCTGGAGGCCACAATACTCGCACCACTCGTCTCTGGGGCCATAGTACTCACACAACTCGCCTTTGTAGCCACAGTATTCGCACAACTCGCCTCTGGGGCCACAGTACTCGCACCACTCGCCTCTGGGGCCATAATACTTGCACCACTCGCCTCTGGGGCCATAATACTCGCACCACTCGCCTCTGGGCCATAATACTCGCACCACTCGCCTCTGGGGCCACAGTACTCGCACCACTCACCACTGAGGCCACAGTACTCGCACCACTCGCCTTTGGGGCCATAATACTCGCAAAACTCGCCTCTCGGGCCACAGTACTCGCACCACTCGCCTCTGGGCCCACAGTACTCGCACCACTCGCCTCTGGGGCCACAGTACTCGCACCACTCGCCTCTGGGGGCCACAGTACTCGCACTTCTCGTCTCTGGGGCCACTATATTCGCACTACTCGCCTCTTGGGTCATCGTACTCGCACTATTAGTATCTGGGGCTACAGTACTCGCACTATTAGCCTCTGGGGCCACAGTACTCGCACTACTCGCCTCTGGGGCCATAATACTCGCACCATTTGCCTCTAGGGCCATAATACTCGCACCACTCGCCTTTGGGGCCACAGTACTCACACCACTCGCCACTGCGGCCATAATACTCGCACCACTTGCCTCTGGGGCCATAGTACTCGCATCACTCGCCTCTGGACCCACAGTACTCGCGCCAATCGCCTCTGGGGCCACAGTACTCGCACCACTCGCCTCTGGGGGCCACAGTACTCGCACCACTCGTCTCTGAGGCCATAGTACTCTCACAACTCGCCTCTGGGGCCATAATACTCGTACCACTCGCCTCTGGGGCCACAGTACTTGCACCACTCGCCACTGACGCCACAGTACTCGCACCACTCGTAATCTGGGGCCATATTACTCGCAAAACTCGCCTCTCGGGCCACAGTACTCGCACCATTCGCCTCTGGGGCCACAGTACTCACACCACTCGCCTCTGGGGCCACAGTACTCGCACCACTCGCCTCTGGAGCCACAGTACTCGCACTACTCGCCTCTGGGGCCACTATATTCGCACTACTCGCCTCTGGGGTCATAGTACTCGCACAATTAGCCTCTGTGGCCACAGTACCCGCACTATTAGCCTCTGGGGCCACAGTACTCGCACCACTCGCCTCTGGGGCCATAATACACGCACTACTTGCCTTTGGGGCCATAATACTCGCACCACTCGCCTCTGGGGCCACAGCACTCACACCACTCGCCACTGGGGCCATAATACTCGCACCACTTGCCTCTGGGGCCACAGTACTCGCATCACTCGCCTTTGGGGGCCACAGTACTCGCACCACTCGTGTCTGGGGCCATAGTACTCACACCACTCGCCTTTGTGGCCACAGTATTCGCACAACTCGATGATGAGGCCACAGTACTCGCACCACTCGCCTCTGGGGCCTCTGTACTCACACCACTCGCCTCTGGGGCCATAATACTCGCACCACTCGCCTCTGGGGCCACAGTACTCGCACCACTCGCCTCTGGGGCCACAGTATTCGCACCACTCGCCTCTGGGGCCACAGTACTTGCACCACTCGTCTCTGGGGCCACAATATTCGCACTACTCGCCTCTGGGGTCATAGTACTCGCACTACTAGCCTCTGGTACCACAGTACTCGCACCACTCGCTTCTGGGGCCATAATACTCGCACCACTTGCCTCTGGGGCCATAATACTCGCTCCACTCGCCTCTGGGGCCACAGTACTTGCACCACTTGCCTCTGGGGCCATAATACTCGCACCACTTGCCTCTGGGGCCATAGTACTCACACCACTCGTCTCTGGGGCCACAGTACTCGCACCACTCGCCTCTGGGGCCATAATACTCGCACCACTCGCCTCTGGGGCCATAATACTCGCACCACTCGCCTCTGGGGCCACAGAACTCACACCACTCGACTCTGGGGCCATAATACTCGCACCACTTACTTTTGGGGGACGTACAGTACTGGCACCACTCGCCTCAGGGGCCATAATACTCGCACCACTCGCCTCTGGGACCATAATACTCGCACCACTCGCATCTGGGGCCATAATACTCGAACCACTCGCCTTTGGGGGCCACAGTACTGGCACCACTCGCCTCTGGGGCCATAATACTCGCACCACTCGCCTCTGGGGCCACAGAACTCGCACCACTCGCCTCTGGGTCCACAGTACTCGCACCACTCGCCTCTGGGGCCACAGTACTGGCAC